GTCGAACGCAAGAACCAGAACGCGCGCCGCAAGAAGAAGACTGAGGACACCACTCGTCTGAGGCACATGGTCGACGACTGTCTGGCGCTTGACGAGCGTATCAAGAAGTTCCGCCAAGCTGAGAACGCACAGAAGAACAAGCGCCGTCTCGAAAAGGAGGCCGCCGAGAAGGCCGCAAAGGAAGAGGCCGAGAAGAAGAAGGCCGAGGAGGCTGCAGCTGCAGCTGAGAAGGAGGCAGCTGAGAAGGCCGCAAAGGCCGACAACAAGAAAGCCAAGGAGGCAGCGAAGAACGCAGCAAAGAAGAACAAGCGTGTTGTGCGTGGTGCCGTTAAGGACGCCAACTACTTCCACGGTGCCGGCGATGCGCCCGCTTCCCAGGTCGATGCCGCTCTCAACGACGTCGATCTCATCATCGTAAAGCAGGACAACGAGGAGCTGGCTGCATTGACCAGCAAGCTCAATGGTGTCAAGGATGCCGGTAAGATCAAGGAGATCTTCCAGGAGGAGGCCCAGCGTCTCATTGGTGCTGCAAAGCTTACGCAGGGCGAGCTCAAGGCTCTGGCTTGAAAAGCGGCTCAGGCTGCACCCACTTCTTGATAGACGTTGTTTAGACTTGGACGTAACGGGAATAATGATATGCATGATTCCATTTGTGACAAACCCTCTTATCTTTCATCTTAAACTCGACTCGAATTCGCAGCCAGCATGACAACAACTCCCAGCTCATTCACCCATCTGATGTCATGCCTTCACATGTGTCAAATGCATCCAGCGGGCGTTTCCGCGGCGGGCGGTACCAGGGTCTAAACATGATGGCGTGGATGCGGATCGCGCGACACACCACCAAGAAGCCAAGCGCTGCCGTCACCCGGAACAGGCAGTGCATTAACGACACCCAAAGTTTGGCTTGAGCCGACATTCCTCTCTCACGACCACTGCGACAACTACCACTGCAATTCCCTTCGCCATCGTTAATCGCCCATTTACCCCGCGAGCACTATTTCCCCGCGCCAAGGACCCCTACACGACGCACAGCAGCACCGATCGCCTGCGCAAGCCCACGCAGCCAGCAGGTTTCTCGCGGTCGGACCTCACTGGCACTGCGCTCGCCTGATTGGATTTGGCCGACGACCTCGTGCCCGCAATCTCACTCCGACATCACTATGAGCGCGTCCCCCACGTCCAGAGACGGCCGACATGCGTGTCCAGCGCCGCGAAAGTCCTCAGGGCCTTACAAGGTCAGCCCGCTGCAGCTCCCCACGGGCGGACACCTCGCGCAGGATGAGGTACGGCGGCCGTCGATACAGTTCCTGGCGCACAGAAATCAGTCGCTACCCAGAGGCCAACCCAGGCCCCGTGAACGACGCCGGTTGTCGTCACCGCCGCCTCCACCGTAAGTATTGATTTGCTCATACCTCTTGCAACCCGGGCATATCTAAGCTTTGCGTTGCTTTGCGCCCGTCTTCCTCTTTCCATGTACTTATGGCGCACAAATGGCGAAGTACGCTTCCAGCGTGCCGGAGCTCAGATGGGCACTTAACTCGATATCTCGCAAACACCTTGCAAGGCCCTTAGACTGACACTTCACTCAGCGTCTTCCAACCTCGGGTGTCTTTCGACACCTTCGACAAGCCCGCAGACTTCATCGAGGAGAGCTCCTTCACACTCATCGCCAAGCACAAGGACTACGAATACACAAAGCGTTCGCGGACGTTCCTCTGCGGTTTCGACGAGAACGAGTACTCGGTATACGCCCTACAATGGCTCATCAACGAGCTCGTCGACGATGGAGACGAAATAGTATGTCTCAGAGTAGTCGAGAAGGAGGATGCAATAGCAGGAGACCGCAGCGTAGAGACTGGTCGGTATCGCGTGGAGGCTGACAACACCATGGCCGACATACAAAGTCGGAATCACGACAACAAGGCGATCAACCTGATATTGGAGTTTTCCATCGGTAAGGTTAACAAAGTTATCGACGACATGGTTAGTCTTCCGCGGTTGCTTAGCTGTTTCATGTCTAACAGCAGACAGATCAATCTCTACGAGCCAGCCATCCTGGTAGTCGGGACGCGGGGCAAGAGCTTGGGCGGATTCCAGGGACTGCTTCCTGGCAGTGTGTCGAAATACTGTCTACAACATTCGCCAGTACCTGTCATTGTCGTACGCCCCACATCGAAACGCGACAAGGCGAAGAGCAAGCGCACCAACGACCCAGACCGCCAAGGTTACAGAGAGATTCTGGCGAAGAGTGAGAGCCTTCCTGAATTCAACAGCCCTCGCAATAGCTTCTTCGCAAATGAAGACGAAGCAGCGATAGTCGGGGGAGCGGCGACCGCACCGAAACCTGCCGTAGAGGCGCATCCTCTAGCACAGGTCGAACAAGCGCCAGACAGCAGCGAGGACGAGGAAGACATGCGCACAACCACTGTGGTCAATGATTTGGTCAATGATGATCCACGAAGCCCCGGCCCGATGATGAAGAGCCCACATCTACAGAATCTGAGCAGCCCAGAGCTTAGTAGCCAGTCTGGTAGCGACGACGAAGATGGAGACGGCGGAGTCTCAACTTCGGGAACTTCGGCAGTAGAGAAAGCATCGATTGCAACGGGGCAGACAAGCGTTGGCGAAGGAGATGCAGGCGGTGGGAATGCGTCAATGTCGTACATGGACAGTCTCACAAGTGGAGCGAAGGAGTCGAAGGAATCGAATGAATCACAGGGCGCATAGTGGAAGCACCAATCAACGATGGGTGTGCGAAGGGAGGTAGTGTGAGTCTCGAGGACGATATGTCGTTTGGCCAGACTAATTCTGGACCGCGTCATGAAGGTTGGCGAAGGAGACATGGGCGGTGGAACCCGTCGGTGTTGCACATGAATAGACACAGGTGCAACTCAGAAAAGCCCCAAAGACACACCCGCACATTTTGGCGCACAGGTTGGGGGCGCATAGTTTTAGCATCAATACCCAAGATATCTCGTCTCTCACATCAGCCTCAAAGACAGCAGATTGTGGTGTTTCATGTGCTCCTGCCAGACCCCGGTATGATCGACGCGATGACGTTTCGTGTGGCTTGACGCCGCGACATGCATGCGCGTTCCCGGCCCCAGTCCCTCATTGACTGATTGCCTCACTTGCGTAACCTTCCACATCCCCCAAGACCTCCATGTGTCAACGTATCCATACCGCGCCGCGTAATCAATGGGTATCCGCACCTCGCCCATAACCAGGACAAACTGGCAATAGCCACCAGCCACACATTAGCTGCCGAATAACAAGACCGCCTATCCGATGATCCCGACTCTACAAGACGACTGCGATGAGTGCATGCCGGACTATGCGCTGCACCACAGCCCCATGACGGTCGCCATATCGGCGCTTCCCTTTATCGTCACCTTCCTCGTTGCTTCTGTGGCGGCGCAGAAGCTGTTCCCTATCTTGTCAGGGAATGCGGATCGCAAAGCGCACCATGACAGCGCGCGACTGCCTGGGGCACCACAGCGCGAACGCCCCTCCATACTGAGCAGTCTACGCCCAAATGCGCGATCGCTCGCCAGCATCCTCTTCTCGACCAACTTCGCCCTTTCCGCCGTACTCGCCGAGCTCATCCTCTGCGAAATCTCCAACACCGTCAATCGCGCCACACGAACGTTAGCGCTCAAGATCACGCTACCTTCCCTGCTCTTCCTGCTTGTCGTCGCGACACCGGCGATTGAGATTCACTCGATCATATCAGGGACTGGACTGAATATTGGTGGGGAGCAGAAGAGTCGGCGACGAGCAGCATGGGTGTTGGAGCTGTGTGGGTTGGCGACATGGCTGGCAGGATTTTGGTATCTTGGTCGAGGGCTGCTGGGCTCGTATCTGCATGAGGAGTCGTATGAACATGATCATACTTTCAGTGAAGGTTGTTTGGAGAGGATAGGTATTATTGGCATCAGCTTGATGGCTTCGCTAGCTGGGTTTGCTGCTATATCCGCGCTTTGGCATACATTTGGTGTCAAGTATCGTCCGGTAAGCTCATCGTCTCCCAGGGATATAAGTATTTGCCAGGTATACTAATCCTTCCTAGGTCACCGAATCAGACATCGGTCGCAAGCAGGCCGGCATACAAGCTACGAACGACATGCTCCTAACGAAAGAGAGCCGACTCCGAGCGGTCGAACGAAAACTTGCGGACAACCCTCAACAAGGCTTCATGGGCCGCGTAGTAGGATCGATTCGTGGAAATCCCGACATCCAGGAGCGGAACACCTTGCAGCTGGAAATACAAGGCCTCGAGACTATGCGCCATACACTCCAAAACTCCCTAACAGTTCTCCAAAACCGTCGGCAGAATCAGCTGCGATCGCATACCGCAAATGGAAGGCTTTTTAACATAGTCTCATACGTCTTCGCTGTATATTGCGCATACCGCATCATCGCCACCACAGTAACAACTCTGCGCCGCTTCTCATCACCAAACGCCAGCTTCGCAAGCAGCGACCCCATTAACAATGTTCTCGCCCTACTAGCGAAACACTGGGACCCTACCATCGACCGCGTCGCCTGGAGCCGCACAATCTCCTTCCTCCTCTCCGGCGTCATGCTCCTCCTCTCCTTCAACAGCGTCCTGCAAACCTTCTACCTCTTCGCCCGCGTCGTCCCCGGTCTCCTCCACCACGCACGCACAAACTTCGCTCTCATCATCTCGCAGATCGCAGCGACTTATGTCATCAGTTCTGCGCTGCTTCTTCGGAGTAACTTGCCGCCTGAGATGAAGAGCAAGATTGGTGATGCGTTGGGTGCGCCGCTTGAACCGGGGTTTACGGAGAGGTGGTTTGAGGGATGGTTCTTGGCGGCGAGTGCGGCGACGGTGTTGGGACTTTGGGCGGGGAAGAGGTTGAAGGGGGGTGAGTGGGATGATGATTGTGAGGGGGGTGAGGGGGATGTTGAGATGGGGAAGAGGAGTACGTAGATGGATGTAGGGTTGTGTTATGTATGCGTTGATCATCCTCATCATGGATCTGTTGTGAGATTGCGTCCCTGCGCGTAGTCGATACATCACATCGCTCAACTTTCTTACATGACTGATCCTGAAGAGCCTGCTTAGGCATCGAATCCGCATTCCCATCAGGAAATAGAAGGTCCGATAACAATTCCCATCCAAAACCTGCATCCATAACCCACAACTTCGGCGCGTCCACCGATATCTACGCACCACCTCGGCGAATACCATCACCACTCAGCATCATGAAGAGGGCAGCGCCCAACGCGTTGAGTGATAGCCACCGGGTATCGCTGCATGAAGGCCAAATGAACCCATTTAGCAAGCCTGAGCCGCCCACCCGCGCTTGCTAAGCATTCATCACCTCTGGACCCGCAATAACGCGCCATGCGCGACGAGCTGTTTGATTGAAGGTTGACGTCGATGTTGCCCGATGCAGGCGCGTTCGCGTTGTGACGTCAGGCCTGGTGGGGCAGGTGGTTCGCCCATGAAAACACATAGAGGGGGCCTTTCTCGAGACCTCTCCATACACACCACTTCTCACAAGCTCTATTCTACAGGTATGTTTGATGGATGAGAGAGGGTTTGAGTGGCATTGGCTAATTGAAGGATAGACTTCTACAAACCTACAAACCTGTACGTTGTACCTGAGCGGGTGATGGGAGAGGGAGCTGGCGATGCGAGCTCCATGGCAGCGAGCTTGCACTCACCTAGCCATCGCACCACCTCCCTCCCTACCCATTCACTCCCCCAACATCATCCCGCTCCTCACTAACACACCCACCAGACTCCCAACCAACCCCACACACAACCCCCCCAAAACCACAACCATGTCCGCCCCCAACGCCGGTCGCCAGTCCCCCGAGCCCGAGCGCCAATCCGGAGCGCAAGCCGGCCAGACCTCCGACAACGTCAACAGCCAAGGCGCAGGACCCAAGGAGGGCGCTGAGAAGGCGAGCGACAACACCAAGGACAGCCTGAGCAGCAACCCCCAGCACACTCTTGAGAAGCATGCTGAGGAGACTACGAGCAAGAAGGTTTAAACAAGGACTGGGTCAGGAGAACGGAATGACGGCCTTGTAACTGAGGAAATGAAACAGACGTGGGACCTATGAAACACAGAGGCAGTCTGCGATGAAATGAAATGAATACATGAACGACTATTGTCATGATATGATGTGTTTGGACGTATATGTGCCTATGCCTCGACTCTGATCGCGTGAATGATGTCTGTCGATAAGCTATGCGTAGCAAAAGTGTAGATTGGTATGCATTTCTCAAAGCCTGTCTGCTTCTCTAACGCCCTGTTTCTTGCTTCCATTTTCGAGCGGGATGCGTAACCATAGAGGCGATATCTACATCATTTTGCTCGTTCGATGTATTATCTTTGGAGTTGGTGACTCCACATACTCTTCTAGTGAGACTTCGCGATGATTTTTGGGAGTGAAGCCTGCACGTTCCGCAGCCGTTCGTTGCCAATTGCCCCGCCATACTAACCTTACCAGCCGCGGTTCTCGTGATCTAACCCCGCCAACGAATCACAACATCCTGTATTCCATGCTTCACACCTTCTCGCTCATGCTATCACGCTCCCGCGCCATCATCTGTCACAACACCCAAGGACTATTACCATGAATCCCAACATTTTGCCATCAAACACACAAACTCGGGCGCTTGGGTAAGCTTCACCGCACAACCACTCTGCCTCTACAGTCAAACTAACAACCCTCAGTCTAGGGGTATGATTTGTAAGACACCACCAACACACATTGAGATGTTGGGATATGAGACTAACATGATCAAAGTCGCTTCGCATTATCAAATGTGCGTACTTGTGAAAGGTCGTGGGTTCAATTCCCACAGCGTCCAGTACCTTCTTTTTTGCACTTTTTTTGCGCACGCAGAAGGAAGAGTACATGGTAAGATGGTTGGAAGGCCGCAACGAGCCTCCATGCCTCAGTACATGTGGAAGAGACCCCATCCTAACCCTTTATCAAAGCGGACTGCCAAAGAAAATGTTCCATCCACACGATTCCCACTCTTCAGGGGTAACGCCTACAGACTCCAAGCAGGGGACGCTCCATGATTCTGACAGAGACTGCGAGAGGCTGTGCGATCTGCCTCCGAGAAGCATTTCGTGGTTGCCTTTGACCCTAAAGCCTTCCAAGATCTGCTTTTCGAAAAGGCGAGAAAAGCCATCTTCCAACCAGGGAACTGATTCCAGATACAAAGATTGTTCGTCTCGCGCAAGTGTCAGTCCACCTACTGCTGTAGCAACGCCATCCAAGTCGTATCGAATCATCATAAGTGCCCGAAGCACCAAATCGCCCGAGGGGTCGTTTCGAAAAAAGATAATGAAGTTGATCGTTGCAGAGGGTAAGAATACAGTCGTTGGACGATGATGAGGGTTGTCTGTTATCAAAGCGGTCGCTGGTGGCGAGAGTACTTTTATGAACCCCGGAATACCGTGCGCAAGGCCTGGAAGGAGTCAGACACGATGATCAATACCACAGATAGACAAAAGATACCTGTGCGCCTAGGGTAGTGGCTCCTTGCAAGCTCGCGGTCAATCCTGTCACTTGGTTGCTCGATGCCACGAATAAAAACAGTACTTTCTTTTCCTTGACTACGTCTCTGCTCGACAACGCGGCTCACTAAGCACCACTCTTCTCTTGTGCGATTCTTCCGGATTTTCCACAACTTCAGTTGGCGTTCGTATTGCGACTCACTCAGAACAGTTAGCATAGATATAGATAGTGGAATCGAGATCGGGAACTGACGTTGCGTGCAGGCCGTAGCCCTTCATCGACTCCATGACCTGGCTTAAAGTCTCATTCTGATCCACGAATAACGTCTTGATCCTGCATCGGTGTTGCTCCCATGTACTGGATTGGATTCGCGGTGCGTAGGACTTGGCCTGCTTAGGCATGCCGACTGGATCTCAAGAAGGTCGAAGCGAATCTTGAGAAAAGAATGAAGAATTGATTGACAGAAAGATCGAAGAGTGAAGGTCGGGTCAGCGAGCATATCAGGCTCCTGAGGCTCCCCTCAAACGACCTTGGGAGCCAATCAAACAAAACCTGAAATACAGCACGACGTGGGCGATACCGTTTTGGGGGCCTGCATACGATCTGCCTATCAGCAAAACCTGGAACTCGCAGTTGAGAAGCGAGATTATGCAGGGGTCAGCAGCACACCCATCGCCGGTGAAGCCTCGATGAGGCGGTGCAATGCCCTCCGCGGCACTACGACCAATGAGACAAAACCTGGATTCGAGGAGCAACGAGCAAGCCCTATCAATCTGAAGACTGACAGACGGACAATACAGTGGCATCAGCATGAAGAGCTGGATTTTGGGCTGGCTTTGCATACGCACTCGTAGGCAAGGACGTACACGTGTAGTGATAGACGTAAAAGCCAAAATGAGAAGTCACGTGGTAAGGCTGCCCATGCACTATCACGTGGACTCACGAGCAGCCTTCTGATCTGGCCGTGTTCACCACATAATCACGTGAGTCTTCCTCCGCGCCATCATGTGGACTGACGAAACGCATCCACTCTGAACGCATTCATTAGACAGTCATCCGGGCTTACTAAACATCCCCGCTCAGTAAAAAACGCCAGTCGGTTCGATAAATACGCAAGTATAAACGAATGCAGACCCCGGACAACTACCACAGCAGAGCACTCATGCGGAACGTGATGTTCGCGGGTGTGGCCTCTAGCGATTGGTTGTCATTGTGGCTTGGTAAATCCTACGAGGGGGTGACGGATCTGTGGTATCTTTTGATTGGAAGCCGCGGTTGAAGCGAGCCAATTGCAGGTTTCCTTGAGCTGTGCGGCGCGGGCCTGCGTAGTGTGCAGAAGCCAAGCTTCTATCAAGTCCCCAGAACACGATGATTGGGAGGAACATGTTCGGTTTAGCCAGTGATCGGTGTTGAGGTTTTGTCACGAAATCTCGAGCTACGGAGGTGGGGTACTTCACGCGGCAGAGGCTGCATCAAGACCGATGCATATGCACGATGGTATGGAGACGCAGGTCGTCGCGACATTCCATTCGTGGTGAACCTTGACCGATGACTTTTTCCCTCGCTAAGACATATCTAGATGTACTGTATCGAATCTGGCCAATGATGGCCCTGGAACATGTGGTGAGCGACCCAAGAAATCAGCGTAAGGCTGTATACGCGGACGTGCCAAAAGATGATATGTGGTAGGAGCATAAAGCATAGAATCTTTATCTTGGGCCCTCGTCCATGATCTTTCATTAGTATCTCACCAAATCACTTAAGCTCTATACATAATCACTTCGATCTTTCGTAACACAAGATCAAAGGGATCAATCAGTGTCCGTCGCGCAGTACAGCCAGAGACCGACATGTCAGCCATTTCTAACGAATCTATCATCGCCATCGTCAGTTTGGTCGCAACATGTCCGCCTTCCTTAGTCATTATCTGGCATCTGCTCAGGCGTAAAGGTCGGGTCCAAAGAGACTTTAACGGTTCGTTGACATGTGTCAACGATCACTACACATTGCTGATATCTTTTCAGATGATGAGTTCTTCCGTTCAGCCATGGACCGCAAGATCGTCAAGCACGTCGACGATACTTTACTCAAACCCACACCCACGTACCTCTCTCGACGATAGCCATCATACAGCTCACCGATGTGGGCCAAGAACAATCACACAAAGGCTCTTCCACAATGTAAAGGCAAAGGCAGCTTCTCTTCCACAATGCACAGGAGACTGCCAAAAGCCTGAGAAGCAGTAGAGCTTAGCATATCGAAGATTTGGGGGCAGCCAGACCAGCCTTGTGTTAAAAGGAGATGTTGTTGACGATGAGATGTAGGACGATCGTCAACACAAGAGCTAGGTCGAGCGACGTAGGATAAGGAAACATAATGAAAATGCCACCAGACCACTTACAACTCATTTCCGTCTCCTAAGCTTTTACATTCAGGCCGTGACGCTCATAGACCATGAACAGGCGATGACACCCCGATGCAGCCTCATCAATCGTCAAATGGAAACTGCTGAGGACCAGGCGATTGCGTCACTCGCGTGCGCCGGACGCAATGCCCCGCTCGGTCCGCATGTCGATTTGTGATCGAACTGCACGTAGTGAACGTGAAGCAAAAAGCATGAGATTTTTGTCATTGGAAAGCCTTCGAGCGTTGTCGTGATTGGATTATAGGGTCTATATAAGATAGGTGTCATGGGGGTGGTGTGCCCGCCGACAAGCAACTGGCGCCGGGCGGGCCGCTTCGGTGCTCCCGAGGTCTCTGCCCCACTAGCTCGATGTCTCACTACGAAGTGCTGATCGATCAATTCTCCTTTGCCCATTTGACTGACATACGTTTCTACCATCGACCCAGTGACCGGAATCAGAAAGCCCAAAGTTGCAGGCTTGCGATGCGTGAAGGGAAGTGCTCGCGTTTCTGAACGCCTGTATGCCCGCCCAGGTCTGGACTGTCATACCCGTGGACGCCTTACGCCACCCCACTGTCAGTGACGTGCACTTTTCATTGCGTGACGTGCACTTTTCATTGCAAACCATCGTTACTCACAATTGCGAGATTCAAGTTCATAAAGACATCGACCCGGTGTCCCGCACATGAACTTCTGGATGCAGATATGCGCTACAGCGTCCGACATCCAACGGCGGCATGGCGAACGACACTTCTGTCCGGGACGGTGACGGGGAGCCTAATGCGATTCACGTGCGCTGTCGACGCCTCTCGCTCCCCAGCGCCTCGTCCCGCGTATTCTCACACACAGGCCTCGTCACGCGTAGCTGTCCAATTCGAAGAGCTGCATGAATGTCGAGGCAAAGAAATGCGCTACTATCCTTGCATGGGGTTGCAGCCATGGTCGCGTGTACTTGTTGACCTTATGGGTCGAACCGCAGGAGGATGCTGCATCGCTTGTCGAACGATATGTCCGTGCCTGGCATTAGAAACCCAGATCATGAACAAAGTGACGACACAGAGGCGGGCCATGTGTTGCAGTTGAACGACTGGGCCTTCCGCCCTCCACTTGC